CGCAGGGCTCTCGGCCGCCTCACTGTCCTGCGCTTTGCAGGAGGCCGGGTGCTGTTTGCCCTTTACGGTGCTCGGTGCTGGCCGGCCCCAGTTTCCCCCGAGCAGCCCCTCTAATGACGGACCAGGTCCTGAAGCTTCACTTCAGGCTGTGGGACCGCTGCTGCCCCAGGCGTGGCCCCCGCCCCGCGCCCCCTGGCTCAGAGCTCCGCTCCCGGCAGGCGTCTCAGCTGGTGGGAACCTGGGTGCTGTCCTCTGTCCCACGCATACAGCCCTGGGGTCACCGGCGCTTTGGCCAGGCCCTGTGGACTGCTCTCTACAGACCATTCCTGGAAAAGCACCTCAGTGTGAATACTGGGCTGGCGCGGACCTTCGCTGTTTCTCTGGATTCCTTTCATCAGCAGAAGGGAACGCCACAAGAACTAGGTGAATAGGAAGCAGAGAGAGCCTGTGGCTTTGGGAAGGTATAAAATGACATCCCTGAGGCTCAGTTTCCTTATCTGTGAAATAGGAACAACGACACCGCCTTTCCAGCAGCAGTAGCAATGGGGAGCAGAGTCCCTGAGGGTCGATGGCCCAAGAGGCTGAGGGTGGAGCTGGGGGAGGGTGCTGCCGTCAAGGTTAGACATAGCAGGAGGTGGTAGTTTAATGAAAAAATATAGAAGAAGTTTTGTCCTCATTCTGGGTAGATATGAATGCAGAAAAAGCTCTTCAGATACGTAAACAGCCAGATCAGTGTGCATGCTCTGACTTTTTAGTTGTGAATTCTAATAAGCACATCATTTTCTGTCTGAAATCCAGATTCCTCTTTTTGGTGTAAGCTCTCCTCTTAGAGGATGTGAAGGGTGACAGGTTTTATTCTCTCCCTTTCTCTCCCGTCTCCTTTCCCTTCCTTTCACACTGAACTTGAACTGTAATCCCTGTGTAGGATTCCAATAAGGAGCCTGTCCTTTTAGCTTGGGAGTTTATTTTATGGCTGGCAGGTGATTGTGTTAAGATGAAATAAACCCCTCAGATAGTAAATAATGTGATTGTTTAAGATTAGTCTTCAAAAGCAGGCAACCATACTCTTGTAAAAATTTAACCTTCTAGCCAGGAAGTCCCATTAACTTCATTAACTTTGGTTAACAGTCTTGCTGCCTCTTATAAACTTAGAAGTAGGCCCAGAGATCAGGAATTTAATCTGAAACCTGATTCTTTTCTGTTCACAATGAATCGCATACATTTGGAAAGAAAGAGCATTATAGCAACATTCCTATTTAGGTAGTCTCCCTCTTCCAAAAAACAAGTGGGGAAAATGGGAGAATTTTAAGGTTATCTTTCCTCCAGATATTCTGGCTGAATCAGTTCAGTTCAGTTCAGTCGCTCAGTCGTGTCCGACTCTTTGCGACCCCATGAATCGCAGCACGCCAGGTCTCCCTGTCCATCATCAACTCCCGGAGTTTACCCAAACTCATGTCCATCGAGTCGGTGATGCCATCCAGCCATCTCATCCTCTGTCATCCCCTTCTCCTCCTGCCCCCAATCCCTCCCAGCATCAGGGTCTTTTCCAATGAGTCAACTCTTCTCATGAGGTGGCCAAAGTATTGGAGTTTCAGCTTCAGCATCAGTCCTTCCAATGAACACCCAGGACCGATCTCCTTTAGGATGGACTGGTTGGATCTTCTTGCAGTCCAAGGGACTCTCAAGAGTCTTCTCCAACACAACAGTTCAAAAGCATCAATTCTTTGGTGCTCAGCTTTCTTTATAGTCCAACTCTCACATCCATACATGACCACTGGAAAAACCGTAGCCTTGACTAGAATATTTACTTCCAAAGAAATGGCTTCTGTGTTTAACAATACCCACCCCCTAAAAAGGGGCTTCCCTGATGTCTCAGACAGTAAAGAGTCTGCCTGCAATGCAGATGACACGGGTTCGATCCCTGGGTTGGGAAGATCGCCTGGAGGAGGACATGGCAACCCACTCCAATATCCTTGCTTAGAGAATCCCATGAACAGAGGAGCCTGGCGGGCTACAGTCCGTGGGGTCGCAGAGAGTTGGACACGTCTGAGTGACTGACACTGCTACTACTACCTTCTATAGAAAGAAAGTGAAAAAAGTCGCTCAGTCGTGTCCGACTCTTTGCGACCCCATGGACTGTAGCCCACCAGGATCCTCAGTCCATGTGATTTTCCGGGCAAGAATACTGGAGTGGGTTGCCATTTCCTTCTCCAGGAGATCTTCCCAACCCAGGGATCAAACTCAGGTCTCCCGCATTGTAGGCAGACGCTTTACCGTCTGAGCTACCAGGGAAGCCCTTCTATAAAAGGTTCTAATTTTCAGTCTGATAAAGCCTCCCCAATTATTACAGTAGTTCTCCCTTATCTGCAGGAAATACTTCCCAAGACCCCCAGTGGATGCCTGAAACCATGAATAGTACCAAACTCTGAATATGGTCCCATGATGTTTTTGACTAAGATTTTTCAACCTTACGATGGTATGAGAGCAATAGACATTCATAGAAGTTGTACTTGGACTTTTGAGTTTTGGCCCTTCCCCATGGGCCATCTGTGGTACAGTCCCATCTTCTGATGCTGGGCAGCGGTGGTGCGGCTTCTCCCGTCAGCCACGCCACCTTGAGAGGAAGAAGCCAGCACACCGACAGACGATGTTTTCCACTTTCAGTACAGCATTCCATCAGTTCCAGGAGGTGTTCAACACCTGATTATAAAATAGTCTTTGTGTTAGATGGTTTTGCTCAACTGTAGGCTCATGTGAAGGTTCTGAACACATTTAAAGTAGGTTGCGCTAAGGTGGGATGTCAGTAGTTTAGGGGTATTAAGTGCATGTTCAGTATTTTCAATACTGAAATACTGGTTTTATCAGGACATAAGCTGAGGATCTGTACTGTGTTTTTTTCCTGTACATAACTGTGATAAATTTTAATTTATCAGTTAGGCACAGTAAGAGCTTAACAACAATAAGGAACAGTAAAATAGAATGGTTATGATGTTGCCGAACAAAATTTATCTAAAACAGACAGAAAATTTTATTTGAGCCAAATTGAGGACTATAACCTGGGAACAGCCTCTCAGAAAGCTCTGAGAACTGCTCCTCTCATTACACATAAAAGCACAGTTGTATCAGTTTTTGAGACCGAGGGCTGTACTTTCTACACAATCCAGATCTACCCATACAAAGCAAACAGTGAGTGATGAGTCATGCTGGCCCCTTACAAGATTAAGAAGGAAGGTTATCTCCTAAGGAGTTATCTCGTTGATGCCAAGAGAATATTGCCTTTTATGGGTGAGCAGGTATTTCTGCCGATGGGGAGTTTTGGTCGATGTGTAAGACAGATACACTAAAGGAGAAGGAGGTCAAAGAACAGAGAAAAAAAATTTATGTTTACATTTTCCTTGATTTGCCTTAGAATATGAATTTTTATTTCATGAACAATAATGTACTATAGTAAAAGTTATGTGAATGTGGTCTCTCTCAAAATATCTGGCACAAATTTAATGCCTTTTCCAGCATAACAAAGCACTTATGCACTGTGGCTGTAACTTCTGCAATTTAAGGTGCAACAGCAAAGCTAGGAGGAATTTCTTTTTCCTTCTTCATAATTTCCTGGGTGGAAGATTCTTTCTGACCATAGATCTTAGCAACCTTAGCATGTGAGTTTTTTCTTTCCTTATTAAGTTGAGAACATTCACCTTTTCACTTAAAGGAAGCTCTTTACAGCCTCTCTTTGGCATATCTGAGTTGCCAGTGTAACCACTCTTGTGCTTTGGGGCCATTACCAAGTAAAATAAGCAAGCATTGTGAACGCAAGCACTGTGGTACCATGCCAGTAACCCCGAAACCCATAGCTACTGGGTGACTAACGGGCAGGACACGCTGGACAGAGGGTTGACTCACGTCCCATGTGGATGGAGCAGGATGGTGCGAGGATGCCAGAAATGTTCACGTGCCAAAAAAAAAAGCATTTTAGACTTGGCAAAATACAGCCTAGGAGTTTTCTCTTATAAATTCCCTTTTAACTTCTGAAAAAAGTATAAGACACTTTCTTACCTTCTCCTTTAAAAGGGCTACTGGATCTATATAGTCTTTTTGAATGAAAATAAAATTTTTGTTTAGAAAAATATTAAGAATTTTATTACGTTTTTGAAAATAACAGTGTTGGTCCTCTAACATCCATAAATCAGGGTTGGAGCTCATGCCGCAATATCTTCAGAGTTCAAATCTCATATGATTCTTGTTATGCTAAGACATCTATTTCCAGATTGGGGCTTTTAAATGTGGGCTGTATTGTTCTAAGAGGAAATTGCAAAATTTAGAAAATTAGTTTATTTACGATTGTGTAATATTAAAATAGATCTATATGGAAATCCGCTGGCAGTCCGATGGTTAGCTCAGTGCTTTCACTGCTTTGGGCCCAGATTCGATGCCTGGTCAAGAAACCAAGGTCCCCCAAGCCCTGCAGCTTGGCCAAAATATATATTATACATTTATATGATTGTTATGTATATTTATATATAAGATATATATATATATACACATATATATGTATATATGATTGTTACCATTAAGGAAATATTGCAGAAAGCTTGGGGAGATAATATTTTGAAACTATATTAGGTATCAATCTGCAGATTTACATACTGGAATTATTCTCTTACTTTAATACGTTAAGATTTTTCTCTTATGCTAATACATTATGTCGTATTCTGATAGGCCTTGCTTCTCTTCTCCAGCTCTTTTCAGAGAGAGAATTCCCCCCGTTTAGGCCGCGCTGGGTCTCCGCCGCTGTGCGGGCTCTCCGTGGCCGCAGCGCGGGGCTGCTCTCTGGCTGGGTGCCGGCGTCTCGCTGCGGGGCGCGGGCGCTCGGGCGCTCGGGCTGCAGCAGCTGGGCGCGTGGGCTCGGCAGTTGTGGCTCCTGGGTTCTGGAGCACAGGCTCAGCAGTCTCCAACTCTTCTCGTTCACACTTTAACAATCTTGTGTGTCTTATCTTTTTTTCCAGGTTACTCTCTTGGATGCAAAGCGGAGCATGAACATTGGGATATTTCTTAAGCAGTTTAAGAAGTAAGATGTTCGCACACATTTGAAACTTTGGTCACACTTCTGCTGTCAGCATCAGACTCTGGGTGTGAGCTGAAACGCTCCCTAATGAGGGAAGGCGCCCCTCATCCCTTCACATTGTTTTAGGCCCGTGGCTTGAGGAGTCCCCAAGTGTGTGTCACTTTCTGCTGTTTTCCTCCATAAAAGCATAATCTAGTCGCTTGGAGTTCAGGGAGAATTGCCTTGAGGCATCTATTCAAGCCTGACACGCCAGGGAATTTATGAATGCACCTGAGGGGTTGCCCCGTTAGTGGAGGATGGACACGTGAGCCAGAGAGTGGTTAAATTCAGGCGTGCTAACGTGGAAAAGAGAGGGCTCTGGCTCCAGGAGGTTGACCGAGCTGCTTTTCTTCTCCCAAAGAAGATGCCCGGTAGCTGTTGGCACTTTCAGCCTCTCTGGGATGCCCGAGGGTGGTTTTCTGTGGAAGGGGCCTCCGGTATGTCAGGATCCCCAGCTCCCCCTGGCAGGGGGGCCCTTACGATCACTGACACAAAACCACCGCACGCCTCGGACGGAGGGGATGGAGAGGAGGGTGGAGGTGATTTGTTTTCATTTCTACGGGCTTGTGTTTCTCAGGCCCTCCAGCAACTGTGAAATGGAATCTGATTCTTGTCTTTTCAAGGTCTCCTCCGTCCATCGTGGAAGATATCCATCAAGGAAAGAGCGAACACTATGGATCAGAGACATTGCGAGAATTTCTTAAGCTTTTGCCAGAGTCAGAGGAGGTAAGGAATTTGGGGCATGAGTTTTTGATGTTAAGAGCGATAATAAAAGCTTCATATTTTTTAGGAATGTCAGAACTCACATGGAATGACGCTCTTTTACCCAGAGCCCGAGTTTTCTCTTGTAACAGTAAAAAGTTACCCAGTAGAAAGAGTACGAGTTATGGAGTTAAAGAACCTAGGTTTAAATTGACATTCCTTCCCTTAATTGGGAAAGCGGGCAAGTTTCTTAAGTCCTGTGAACTTTAGTTTCCTCACCTGTAAAATGAGGATAATGAGGCTTACCTCATTGAATTGTTGAGATGATTAAGCCCTCGTTAAGCATCTAACGTGGTACTTGGCACAGGGGAGCTCAATAAATGTTAGTTCCCTTTTCTGTCAACTAAGGTGATCTTTGCCTAGGGTGTACCTGGGGTTGTTTGATAATGTATGTTTTTTTTAAAAAAAGGAAAGACCGACCACTTTTGAATAAAGATGCTCTAAAAACTAAGAGGTAGGTAAATTGTTAATAGATGTTGTATATATTAATTGACTGAAGATGGAGATGGCTATGGTGATGATATAGTACCACAGTATAAGTAAAGTTACTGATTTTGGAGGGACTGAATTAACTGAATCTTTGCATGATTAGGAGCTTGATAGGATAAAAAAAGAGAAAAACAGTTTTGTAGAACCTTCCAAAATTGTGGTACACTTTCTGAATAAGGGACCCTTGGAAAAAATTTAGTAAAAGGCTAAATAAATATGTGTTATTTGAATAGTACAAAGTCTTATAAAGTAAAAAGTGTAAGTTACCCTTTTCCATAGGCTGCTGGTTCCTCCCTCCCTAGTCTCTTTCCTTTTCCCAGACATAATTTATGGAACTTGATTTTAGTGCCATTAATAACCAAAAAAAAAATGTATTTATGCTTTTTTCTTTTCTGTCAGTGATAACTTCACAATGCCAAACTGAGGGTCTTAGTGGGTAACTGGATGTTCAGGTATTCTGAGCTGCTCTCTTCACCTCAGGTTTCTGTTCACAAATTAATTGTAATTTTCCAAAGCCAGGATTAGTTAACAGCATTTGTTACTGTTAGTACAGGGTCTTACAGAATTGAGGGTAAAGTATGTTAGTTCACAGTTCACCCTGGATCCTACCTGCTGAATGCTCCTTAATCATTTTTGTGAAGAATAGCATTCCAGAGTCTTTTTCTGTAATGGAACTATATTGCTTTACAGTATTGTGTTTCAGATGTACTCAAGATCTTTTATTAGGATGGATAGTTTTAATAAATTGAGTTTTTAAGAAGATTCGGTTGCTCTGGAAATCTTATTCCTGCTTGGGCATTTCTCGTGCCTGCTCCTGAGCAATTCTCCTGTAATTCCTAACAGAGCTCTGAATTTCCAACTCAGCAGGAGTTAAGCGTGAGGTGAGGCTGCCAGCTTTATGCCACTGAAGAGGGAGGAGGTTAAATATGATTTCCTTAATATCTTCCTTCCTAATTTAAAAATCAGAGGCATTTGAAAATTAAATTTGAAAAATCTTTAAATGCAAAGGCTGTGGAAGACTTAGGGGTCTTCCAAAGAAGCAACTTAGCTGTCCGACCTCTCGTGTCTTAAAGAACCCAGTGTTTTGAGTTGTGTGTGGGAATAATTCAGAGGCAAGAGGCGGTTAAGGACGAGGTGACCAAAACCCACCCCAGCACTGCCATGAGGATCCCCAGGCACTCTCACCCGCAGACGATCAGCTGACCCCAGAGACACGACAGGGTCCCGCTGAAGCCTTAGGGTCCTGCTGAGGCTTTGGGGTCCCGCTGAGGCCTTGGGACCCCATGGAGGCCTTGGGGTCCCGCTGAGGCCTTGGGGTCCCGCAGGGCCTTCCCAGCCCCGAGACCCGCCGTTCCTCCCCCTGCAGGGTCCCCTCGGTCTGTGTATCTGACAAGTTCGGTCACACTCCCCTCGTTTACATTCCCGCCTCCTGGCCTTTGACGGGCACACCCTCCTCCGGGAGCCGAGCTTCCTGCAGGAACACCCTGACAGTCCCCGAGGCTGCCCGGCAGCGCTCCCCCAGCCCCTCCCTGGGGGCTGTGTGCCTCCCCGGGGAGGAGCCACCTCCCGCCCGCTGCCCCTGCAGGGACAGGCTCGCTTTGCCGTGAGTGCTCTGGGTGGCTCTGGCCACCCCCCGGACCCTGACATGACGGGGGCGACCCTAGAGCCCCAGGTGGAGGGCGGAGGCTGGAGAAGAGGCCAAGGAGAAGGCAGGGCAGAGTGAAAGAGGCTGAGGACTGTGGCCGAAACACGCTAATAAATGCATCATGGGCGCACGACTGTGCCTTGCTCAGCCCATGGGGTATATCCCGTGCCCGTTTTTAGCTCGGGGGGAGGGCATGCGCTGACTGCCTGCCCCGTGTTCCCAGCACCAGCCGGGGCCACAGGGAGCAAGTGCTCGGCTCAGCTCTGGCACACAGAAAGTCGGTAAATCATCCCTGTGGTGGCTGGCTGTGTTTTTTTCATTTGATCTGCAGGGTGACATTGTAAGCTTCCTCGAGTAACAGACGAGACCCTGTCTGCTGCCACAGGACTGACGGGGCCTGGAGGGCGGGGGGCTTGGCCTGACTCATCTGACCCTGGGCAACTCCCAAGCCACCCTCGCCACCTCCCTCTGAGGACGGAAGGACAAGGGTTCCCCACCCCCTGGCTGCTCCAGGCCAGCTCCCCAGGCCTGCATCACCTCTGCTCTCACAGGGAACCAAGGCACCAGTGTGAGTGTCAGCACGCTAACACCGTCAGCAGCAGCTGAGCTGGTGAACGGGACCAGCCGCCAGCTCACCCCCATTCATTTGTTTCCTGGTGTCCTCTGCCCTCCACCACAAAGCTTTTTATCTGGCACGTTTTGTTCATCTTGCCTCAAACTTGTGTTTAAAACTTGTAGAGGGAGTGGTGGTGGTTTAATTGCTAGGTCGTGTCCAATTCCTGGCGACCCCACCAGGCTCCTCTGTCCGTGGAATTCTCCAGGCAAGACTGGAATGTGTTACCATTCCCTTCTCCAGGGCATCTTCCTGACCCAGGGATCGAACCTGGGTCCCTGCGTTGCAGGTGGGTTCTTTACCAAATGAGTTCCCAGGGAAGAGGAGATGGTAGACCCAGAAATGAAAGCATGTTCCCTGCCTGGGCCCCAAGAGGGGGCTTGACCAGGAGCCATGGGCCGTGGCGGAGCCGTGCCCTCCGCCCTCCGTGGCGGAGCCGGCTCAGCATCAGGGACTTGGGGCTGGAGGCGGCGCTGCTGTCTGTAGCAGCAAGCTGACTTGCCTCTCCTGATGTTTTTATCACCGCATTCTTACCTTGTTTGTTCACTCTGCTCCTGGGAGAGGAGAAAGCCCTGGGGTCTTCTGTTGGGTGGGTCTGCTGTTTGGTGGGAAACCCTGCTGTTTCACGGCCATGTGAGTGGACTTAGCCAGGATGAAGGAGGCCTGCTCTGTGGAATGCATGAGTCTTAAGGAGCAGGCTCTTTGCTGTTAGGGCAGAAACCAGGCAGAGCCAGATCATAATGAGAGTCTCTTGGCTCAGCCAAGAAAACGATGCCTAACAACGTTTGATAAATGCTTTTTGATGGTGATGAGAATACACAATAATTACAGGGTTTGTCCACCTCTCTTTTTTACCTCCCTCACTGTGAAGGCACAGTAATCCCTCTTAATGAACATAAATCTCATTTTGAAATGGAATTAAGAACTGTATACATGGCATTTAAATCAAATGCTATCTTTAGTATCACTATTCTCTTGAACTCCATAAACATTTTTCACTCATTATATAAGAGAAGGCAATTAATCATTGTTCATTTACAGTTCAGCACATGTTTAATAGAAATATCTACCGAGTGTACTTAGCATGACCTGGTCTTGTGCTTCAGACAGGAAGCCGTGCTGTGATTCTCAGAAGTTTTGCCCGTGCTACATATGTGGTTTTATAAGACACAGACAACTCCAGTCTGCCCCTGCCCATATATGGTGAATCGTGAGGCTCTAGTTCAGGAGGGATCAGAATTCATCCTGTGGCTTTTTCAGTTCAGAAAGTAGGCACTAGTTTGGGTTTAACTAATGCAGAAGTTCCATCTCTCCTTAAACTTAGTAAGGCTGAAAACAAAAAATTCACTTTGAGGCCCTAAAGGTAGGGGAAATAATGCAGTTCTATAAATGGCTATTTTCTGCCCATTAGGAAGAAAATGTAGTCTTAAGGCCCAGACTTAATACATTTCGTATTTCAGAAAAAAATTGATGCAGATGTTTCAGTTTGGGGATCTTTGCAAATACTCCCTCCTCCCGGTTTTTGAACTGTTAATTCCTATTTTTCAAGAGGTTTAAAAATTAGGTTATTATTATGGGCACATAATAATGTGAGATACTGGCACAAACATAATCCAGGGGTAGGAAAGAGAAAGCTTTATAAAGTGTTAGGTGCTTACTGGGAACAGTTAGCTACAAGGATAGACTGTCAGCTTTACTGTAGCAGTCTTTTTGTCTGTTTGTTTTTAATTATAGTTGATTTGCACTTCTGTGTTAGTTTCAGATGTACAGCGAAGTGATTCAGAATTATACACATACACACATCTGTTCTCTGTCAGACTCTTTTCCCATACAGATTATTACAAACCTCTAGCAGTCTCAAGATGCTACTGACCATGAAGTGTTTCTGTTGGAAAACTCCAGTACAGTGGCCAGGGATGTGTTTGGGGTTGGTCCTGTTTTCTGTGTGGGGAAGGCACAGTTTGAGAACCTTCTGTGCCTCCATCCCTCCTTGTTAGCTGTTATATTCCTGTGTCAGAACTCTTTTATTTTTTTCCTTTACTACAGTTGAAGGAATATTTGTGTATTTAATAACTTTTAGTTTAGTTTAACTTTTTACAGGACTAGTACATGTTCATTGTGGACATTTTCGGAAATAAAGATGAGCAGCAGATGCAAGTGATACTAACTATGATTCCATCACCTTGTGTAGATGCCTGGTTCATCTTGTTGTGTTTGTAACATGTGCCTGGAGGGCTGGAGCATAGATACTTCTTGTCTTAATTTATAGAAGTGGGATTCTACTGATCCTTACCTGACTCTCTTTCAGAGGGGAAGATCTTGACATCTTTCAGTTGTTTAAGACATTTTCCTCTCTAGCTTCCTGCTGGAAAGCCAGTGTGTGTTCACCTCCACATCCAGTGGTTCCTCCCTATAAAGCTGCTAAACGTGAAGGGGAACGTGACCTCTGAAGGAAGATCTGTGTTAGGCCCCCCAGTCTAAGTATCTTATATCCAAAATACTCAAAATAATAAGACATTTCATTTGTGACTTAGGCTCTGCTATAGTAACTATATGTATCAAGCCTCTTCTTTTTTTTCCAGACAGGGATCTCCCCTCCAGCTTGTGACTTACTCAACATTTTCATCCTTGGCCTGATCCTCTTTCTGGCTCCCTTAGTAACCCCCAAAGGACTCACTCCAGTGGCTCCGGCTCTCTGGTTTGTGTGGGGCTGTTTATACCCACATGAGTGACACAGCTCTCCTCTCCCTAACTTGATTGTTTGGGTTTTTTCTTTGAAACAACAAACTAGTCGATGACTTTCTTCTCTCTTTTCTTAGGTCTGCATTTTTGTTAATTTGAATTTAGCTCTGAAATCCTTATTTTCTGAAAGGAATTCTAAGGTGGAATTTAAAATAATGTTGTATTTCAATCATTGGTCCTTTTTCCTTGACCCCCTTTTGCTTGTCTTTCAGATAAAGAAACTAAAGGCATTCAGTGGAGACGTGGCCAAGCTGTCCCTGGCAGACTCCTTTCTGCACTGCTTAATCCAGGTGCCAAAGTAAGGACCACCCATCACTGCTCTTGGCAGGGCACGGTTCTTAGGTCTACAGCATCACACGCTACAGCTCTGCTTCTTGTTTTTCAGCTATTCCCTGCGGATTGAAGCCATGGTGCTAAAGAAGGAATTTCTGCCTTCTTGTTCTTCTCTATACACAGATATGACGATTCTAAGGAACGCTACAAAAGGTGAGTAAATACATGATGCGTTGTGTAATTTGTTTTTATTAATTTTGGTAGCAGCCTATTTTTTAAAAACTGGTTGGTTGAAAAGTTGTAGATATGGGAAGTTCCATTTCTGATACACTCTAGAAAGGGAAATGACGTGTTACCAAGGATGCTATTTAAGGTTTAGCTCCATTTACTCCCCCCCTTTGATTAATTTAATTAGTTGACCAGTCAATTAATTAGCATATTATCCTCCCGTAAAAGAAAGTCATTTCTTCTCAGAAAGTGAGAGTGTCAGTCGCTCAGTCGTATCTGACTCTTTTGCGACCCCATGGACTGTCGTCCACCAGGCTCCTCTGTCCATGGAATTCTCCAGGCAAAAATATTGGAGTGGTAGCCATTCCCTTCTCCCGGAGGTCTTCCCGACCCAGGGATCGAAACCAGGTCTCCTGCACCGCAGGCAGATTCTTTACCGTCTGAGCCACCAGGGAAGCCCACCTTTCATCTCAAGTTTAGGAATAAGCCTGTTGGCTGCAGCGTGCTCTTGTTCCTCTCCTGTATTAGCTTTCTGTGTGTGTGTGTGCTGTATGTTGTGTGTGGTGTGTTTACTCTGTGTGGTGTGTGTGCAGAGTATGTATGTGTTGTGTGTTCTCTGGTGCGGGTGTATCCTGTGTGTATTGTGCATATGTTGTGTGTGGTATGTGTGCAGAGTATGTATAAGTTGCATGTTCTCTCTGTGTGTGCTGTATGTTGCGTGTGGTGTGTTCAGTGTGTGTGCAGAGTATGTGTGTGTTGCATGTTCTCTCTGTGTGTGCTGTATGTTGTGTGTGGTGTGTGTGCAGAGTATGTATGTGTTGTGTGTGCTGTATGTTGTATGTGGTGTGTTCAGTGTGTGTGCAGAGTATGTATGTGTTGTGTGTTCTCTCTGTGTGTGCTGTATGTTGTGTGTGGTGTGTTCAGTGTGTGTGCAGAGTATGTATGTGTTGCGTGTTCTCTCTGTGTGTGCTGTATGTTGTGTGTGGTGTGTGTGCAGAGCATGTATAAGTTGCATGTTCTCTCTCTGTGTGTGCTGTATGTTGTGTGTGGTGTGTTCAGTGTGTGTGCAGAGTATGTATGTGTTGCGTGTTCTCTCTGTGTGCTGTATGTTGTGTGTGGTGTGTTCAGTGTGTGTGCAGAGTATGTATGTGTTGCATGTTCTCTCTGTGTGTGCTGTATGTTGTGTGTGGTGTGTGTGCAGAGTATGTATGTGTTGCGTGTTCTCTATGTTGTGTGTGGTGTGTTCAGTGTGTGTGCAGAGTATGTATGTGTTGTGTGTTCTCTCTGTGTGTGCTGTATGTTGTGTGTGGTGTGTGTGCAGAGTATGTATAAGTTGCGTGTTCTCTCTGTGTGTGCTGTATGTTGTGTGTGGTGTGTTCAGTGTGTGTGCAGAGTATGTATAAGTTGTGTGTTCTCTCTGTGTGTGCTGTATGTTGTGTGTGGTGTGTGTGCAGAGTATGTATGTGTTGCGTGTTCTCTATGTTGTGTGTGGTGTGTTCAGTGTGTGTGCAGAGTATGTATGTGTTGCATGTTCTCTCTGTGTGTGCTGTATGTTGTGTGTGGCGTGTTCAGTGTGTGTGGTGTGTATGTGTTGCATGTTCTCTGTGTGGTGTGTGTGTATCCCGTGTGTATTGCGCATGCATTGTGCATGTCATGTGTGTACGGAGGCGCGTGCTCACAGCCTGGGCCCCGGCCGCCTGCCCGTCCTCCCAGGCTCTGAGCCTGCGCCCTGCTCTCCGGGAAGCAGGGCTCCTTCCCTCCTGACCCCTCCGCAGCGGTGTCGCCCGCACCCCCAGGTCCCCTCCAGCCGCTCAGGTCTGAGAGGAGCGAGCCGGCGTTCCCAGTCCTTTGAGCAGCTTGCCCCCGTGGCGAGCCTGCTCAGGCGCTCTGATGCCCCCTGCACGGAGCTGGGAGCTCGCTTCCCCGCGGGCGGGCGGGCGGCGAGAATGCTGGCCGGGCCGCCTCCTTCCGGCCCGGAGGCGGACTGGACTCCTGCCTCCCTGCGCTCGGCACCTGGCTCCGGGCCTCGCCTCCTCCTGGTCACTTTCCGCATCTCTCGCGGGGGCGGCGCTGCTTGCTCCTGCTCTTTTCCCTGCGTAGTGACCCTGACCTGTGTCGGCATTAAGGCATATTTTCTTCGGCTCGTTGTGTTTTCTTCACTTAGAGAAGAGACTAGGCGTTAAGAGCGTTTTCTTCTTTCACTGTGGAGGCCTTTTAAAATTTCTTCCTGAACGAAGGCTAACGCAGCAGCTTTGGAAGGATTGTCTGCTCTGTGCAAACAGAGATGGAAACATGTGTTTTCATACTAAGCAATGCAAATTTGTGGGCACCATGGGAATGTTTTTGATCTGGTTACCCTTTAAAACCTGGCCTTCTTAGATAACACAGTATAGGCAGTGATCCAAGTGTAACTTTTTGAAAGTAATACTAGACATAACGGAGAATATTAACAATATCATAGATGACATTTTATTACCTATATCTACTGTAATTTTAGTAATTAATTTCTCTCTTTGTCTTTTCAAATACATTAACAAATTTTAATATTGTTTATTTGTCTTGGTGGGTAATACAAAAGATTTATGTTTAAAGAACTAGTTTACCAATATGACAGTGATTGAGTTCCTTTTGAAACCTTTAAGCCAATCCAAATAAAATGTTCAGTTTTGAATAAAATGGAAAGATTCTCTGGGTACCTGCCTCTAAGAGTTGGAGCTTTGCAAGTTATTTACATATCATCCCAGCCTGTTTATTTTGTATCTCCTCACAGCTCATCAGTTAAGCAAAATGCTGCTTACTATTCATTTTCATAGTCCGTAAACACAATCTCAAAGGATATAAAGGAAAAAATAAAGAAATAACTGTTGAGGAGACTATTCCTATAACACAGTATGCTGCTTTTCCTAAGATTTTTGTATTTTCCACTCGTTGAAAATTTTCATTGTTGAAGTATACAGGACACTTAAGTGTCATCTGTATTTGATTCCCAGTTTAACACCAGGATGGGCATCACCAGTAGCTGTGGTACATTAGATACACCATGCAATGACTGCTTTGTTTGTGTCAGTCTTTTATACAACTTAGGGTCAGCGTGTGCTTCAGACATACTTAAACCTGGGTGTGGTAGCTGTCTGACGTGTGTCTGAGCGGCAGGCTTCTCTAAGGTACTGTGTGTGCTCTTTCTGACAGAGCTGATGTCCTGTGAGGAATTACATTCCATATTACACTTGGTGCTACAAGCAGGGAATATCATGAATGCTGTAAGTAAAGTTCAAAAAAATTTTTTAAATGTTGCATTTCCGACTTTATTTGTCTGTCTAAAAGTGTGTATATATATTTTTTCTTTTGATTTGTCTTCTTTAGGGAGGGTATGCTGGCAATGCAGTAGGATTTAAACTGTCTTCTTTGCTCAGATTGGCAGACACAAAAGCAAACAAACCTGGGATGAATCTCCTGCACTTTGTTGCACAGGTATGTGGAAGTGATTGACAGAGTGTTCGTGCACCCCCGCTGGAGGTAGTGAAGTCTTTCAGAGGTGGAAGGGGGCATCAGTCAGAAAAGGGCATGGTAGCTGCCAAGAAGTTTCTGTGTGCAGATTCCTTAGTTGAGTGCACCTGGAGTTCCCAGGCTGGAGGGATGTGGGGGGTCGGGACTGGGCACAGAGGTGGGTGAAGCCAGGTGATGAAGGATTCACACCCACAGCTGGGGAATTTGGATTTCATGCTTTAGCACTGGTGAGCCAGCAGTGGTTTGTACACATCATCATGGCATGACCAGGGATGTTTTCTTCCTAGGAAAATGAGGCAGCATGGGGATGGGTTGGAGTGGAGAGAGAAGAGAGACAGGGGTGCCTCTTGGTGGAAGCTGGCGTTCATCGTTTGGGAGAGTTGAGAAGCCGAGTGATGGCCATGGGATAGAGAGCAGAGGCCTGGGTGTTGAAACATTGCTTTCTAGTGTTGAGTTAACTGGAGTTTTGACCAGTTGTGTGTAAAGAGTGAGGGGTCAGAGCAATGAGAGGATGGATCAGTTCATTTTCTTTGTGAACTGGGGGTGAGGGAGCCTTGCCATCCACACAGAGTTTGGGGTCTGAACCCTGTCCACTACTTGGACACATGCGTGACCCCCAGATAACTAGTTCCAAAGCCAAAGATCTGCCAAGGACAGTTCCCTGTTTGTTGTTAAATTATCTCAAAGAATGAATTGTGCGGGCTTGTTTTTCCTGCTGCATCTCCTTGTTTTGACAGCAATCATGTAGACATAGCTTAACCTGGCAGGAAAGCTGTGTTGCAGGCTTAAGTGTGAGCTTCTGAACAGGATGGAAGGGAGAGTTTTGACCTGTCCTTTATTAGCTGTACTTCCTCAGACGAGTTATGTAAGCCTCAAGTTCCTCAGTTTCTTCATCTAATGATGAGGGGCGGGGAGTGATAACCTCAAAACTCGGTAATTGAGGAGGTGGAGGAAGATAATTCCAGACTGTGCTTATTAGCTCAGTGTTCTGAATATAGTAAACTCTCCATAAATAATACACCCTATTATTACTATATTCTTCAGAAGACAGAGGGCATGTGGAACCTGGTACTCACTGAAGAGTCCATTTTCAGGGCATTAAGACCAGAAAACGTGTTCCTCAGCACTGAGATCCCCGTCCCAGATGCTCTGTGTGGCTTGGTCCCAGCCCCTTGTGGGGAGGTTCCCTGAGTTGCACGTTGCCCCCTTCATCCTTGCCTTCCTTTTGCCCTCTGAACAGGGGAAGGATCCAAACTCCTCCATGGCCCATGCGCCGTCTGATTAAGCTCAGTTTGCAGACTGGTCTAACAGCTGCTGGTGGCTGGGTCACACAGAGGCGTCCTCGCAGGTGTGGTGGTTTTTCGGCAGGATAGATTGGATTCCCTTGGGAGTCGTGGGCCCTGCGAAGCGGCTGCCTCCTTCCAACTGAGTTTTCACACGCATGTGTTGTGTTTCATGTCAGGATCAGTTGCTCCGGGAAGTTAAATGTTTCTTGAGAGTAGATTTCCGGTCAGTCTTACTGAGAATGTCAGACTAAGTGTGTGTCTCTGTGAATTACTTTGACTGTATCAAGCCTTAAAGGGGGACAGTGATTTTAGGGTTCCTTTAAGCCCTGAGAAAAATTTCTCCATATAGTGGATGAAATTCCAGTTTTGTTCCCATAGAGTGAGAGAAAATTCTGTTTTTGTTCCAGGAAGCCCAAAAGAAAGATGCTATGCTTCTAAATTTTTCTGAAAAATTGCTTCATGTTCAGGAGGCTGCCAGGTAATCAAGGAAGAATATGGTGAGACAAACATGGTTGGTTGTTTTTTTCTTAACTACCTTCTTATGAAAACTGATGAATATTTTACAACTTCTGAATTCAGGTTAGAACTTTCAAAAGTTTTGCCTAGTTGAACTTTCAGACCTTTCTTTCATTTGCTTATAGAGGTGTGTGTGCACCTTTGGAATTAGAGGGGTTTTGAAAAATTAATCTTTATTTTTAAACTAAAAAAACCCTGTTGCAGTTTATTCTAATGAATATCATCAGTGTAAAAATGTATGTATATGGATTAAGAACTTCAAATACCTCCACACCCAAAAGACAGGGCTGAAAGAACATAGCACTTGGAGATGGGATACATCAGTCAAGCTCTCAGGGCCCTACACCCCTGATTCCTTTAGAATCTAACATGGTACGTTTACTTTCTATTGCATTAAAAGAAGTTGGAACCATATCAAGGGCTGTGAAAGGATTTTGTTTTAAATTAGTCACTCAGCTTTATAGAGAAAGTATCTAACAAACATAACACTCTACTTACATCCCTATTCTTCGCTTCTTATCCTCATATAGATGTGTATTTTAATGTAGCTATAATCTGTGTATCCATTCTGAGTCCTGTGCTTTTAAATTTACAATACATACCCACGCGTGTAAATGTTAAATGGTGGTAATGTCCCATAGCCAGCTTTTTAAGGAAAAAGGTCCTGAGGTGTAGCTACTGCTGATTTCCATGGTCTAAAGACTGCCGCCATGGCTGACCTCAAGTTCCCAAGTGGCACCGTCGATTACGGAGCTGGGGAAAGATACCCACAGCCACAGCCGTGTCCCATGAGCAGACGCCAGCAGTCACCTCACCTATCAACCCAGTGCATGTCATCTGCTTGTTATCTGAGGGACTCTATCCAGTTGGGACAGCTGTGAACCAGATGCATAAACAGCCAAACAGAGCTTTTCCAGCCCCGCCCACCACCGGCCCGCATCTCAGGGATACTGCCTGAGAATGTCTAACCACGGATGATGTCTTTCCCAAAGTGAGAGTGTCGGTCCTAAGTGTGAACAGTTGTTATAGTTCATAGTTACAGATCACCAGAGTATTCCTCCCACAGAATGGGCATCTGCTAAGATGTAAACTGTTTTCACTTTTGAATTACTAAAAGAAGTTTGCATGGAAATATTTTTCCCTCCCTGTAGTACAGAAATGTCTCTGAGAGATACACATAGAAATAACGGTTCCATTTCTGGTCAGAGTTAGATGGGGAAGGTTAGCTAGATGTTGTCTTAGGAAAAACTTAACTAAGGTTTATTTGAACTGGAAAGTGAAGTACGCATAGGACATAGGCGGGTGCCAGTGACCAGTGGAGGTGGAAAATTACTGTGTAAAGAAAAGTTAGAATTGACAGTGGAAGCTTGAAAGGATCTTGATCTATGAATGTGCTAATTGAATTCCTCCTGGACTTAGGTATCACCTGTTCACTTTACCAGGTGACACGAACATCATTCATGCCCTATTAATCTCAGTGTGACATTTATAACAAAAGCCTTGCCAGTAACCCCACCATTTCTCTGCAGAGCTCTTAGCTGTGTGTCCCTTCTCTCTAAGACCCAGAGGACTGACTCTGGTTGCTTGTGGCGGGCAGCATGCCGTCTGTTCAGTGTCTCTGCATCCCCGTTAGCGTCCTGGTTATCAGCATGTGCCGCCACCTTGCTTTTCATGGGTTAGGGCTTTTGTAGCTGCATTTTTGTGACCAGAGGAAAGTATAAGTAAGTGAGCCCTGCTGGACACTAATGCTGATGGCATAAAGCTGTTGAGACCTAGTTTATGAAAAGCTTCGCAAGTCCTGTGCTTTTGGTTATCTCTCCAGCAAGAACAAAATTACAGCCTGCTCTCTTTGAACCATTATGTGTCTTTAGGCAAGAATCGCCTTAGAAAAACATAGGAGGAAACTATAAAGGTAGAGGGTAGTAAAGGTAATTGCGGCAGCCCTCCCCTCTATTTCCAGGTCCCGTTTGATATCCCTGGGGTGACCGCCCCCTCAACCCTGGTGCCAGCTGCCCACTCTCTCCTTTGTTCTTTCAGATTATCTCTGGACAACACGGAGGTGGAGCTGCACTCGCTCTTTGTCAGGACGAAGACTCTCAAGGAGAACATCCAGCGGGATCGAGAGCTGTGTCAGCAGATGGAAGATTTCCTTCAGGTGAGTGATTCGAGTCAGTACCTCTGATCTCCTCCTCAGTGGCCCTGTGAGGCCACTTAACGTTTGCAGGGCTGTGTTTGTGGAAGCAGCAGGTTCCCATTCATGTTTTCCCCCCTAAGCCAGTCAAAGGAACTTGATATTTCAGCGGCCAGTCTTTAAGGGGGCGTCCCCAGTGGCTTAGCAGTAAAGCATCTGCCTGCAATGCAGGAGACACAGGAGACCCAGGTTTGATCCCTAGGTCAGGAAGATCCCCTGGAGAAGGAACCCACTCCAGTATTCTTGCCTGGAAAATTCCATGGACAGAGGAGCCTGGCAGGCTACAGTCCATGGAGTTGCTAAGAGTTGGACACGACTGAGCAACTGAGCATGCATCCTTTACTGGATTGGTTTTCTGGCAGAGGATGTGGAATATGTCTGACCCTGAGCCCTCGGTTAGAGATGGGGTCTCTGTTTATTTCTGCTTGGTCTGCAGGATGGCACCCACTCCCACATGGACTGGGATCACTTATGCTTATGCTTGGCGGCTGCTGCCTGGCGACTCAGGTTTTGGTTCAAAAGCTCAGTTCTGGAGTTTCTGCCTCCCAGTTAAACTTATGGATGCCAGAATGAGATTCTCGTTGAAGACACCTGAGCACTTGGGCTGTTCTTCCTTCAGTTGTTTCTGTGGAAGAAACAAGCTCCGTTTTAGCATGTTTTATAGGGAGGCAGGAAAGCACACTGGAGCCAGTGCCTCCTACCACCCCGATCCATCGGCCCACAGGGTGTGGTGGGAGCTGCCCCGAGTAACATCAACAGAACCCAGCAGAGTGGACCTGTTTGTGACAGCTCATCATGACTCACTCATCACATAGTCTGACATACTTCTTTTATCTTCCTTATTTAAAAAAAAAAAAAAGTGGCACCTCTTCATGCTTTCAGTCTTCAGGAAATGGCGTGCTACTCAATTTGCCTTTGCCAAACGGATCTTGAAAGCTCGGCGTCAGGGCTTTGAGGCTTATGAGCCGGAATGCGTGAGGCAGGGCTGCCCTGGGAGGTGGGAAAGGGACCGTGTGCTTGAAGATCAGACCAAGGTCAGCTGCAGCCTCCCTTGGTTTCCTTGAAATGAAGCCACATCAGATGCTGTGAGCTGCAGCTCCCGTCAGTGACCACCTGATTCTGTTTGGCTGTGCTGGGAGTTTGTTTTTATTATTAAACACGTATTCTGTATTTTCTTTCAAACATCACTGAACTTTAATTTTCCCTTAAAAGTGCACAGATTTTCTTCTCTGAGACAACTAAGTAGACATTATCACAGAATCACATGAACAGGAGCTAGGAAAACACTCAGCAATAAATAAGCCTGTTCAGACAAATGGAACAATCCAGGAATGTGAGGAGAAGGCCTGCCACATGTTGAGAGGAGCATTCTGGAGGCTTGTCTCTCAGTTCTTATATGAGATGTTAATTTCTTCTGTGAAATGGCAGCACAGGAAAGCTTACGATGCAGTCGCACACCCACACAGCTGCTGAGAGGCAGTCTTGTTTTCACTCTAAACTCATCTTCCTGGTACTCATTTTTATCTATGTAAGTAGAATATTCCATACAGCTACTTATTTTTCCCAAGTTTACTTTCTTTTTAAATAGGGGAAATACAATTTTTAATGTAGGTTAGGGTCAGGCCACAGAAGGCCTTGAATGCCAGTCTGAAAACTTTGCTCTCTAAGCCAGGTGGGGAACGATTGAAGGGTTTTTTAAAAAATCATTTATTTATTTATCATTTTGGCAGTGCTGGGTGTTCATTGCTGCTCCAGGTTTTTCTCCAGTTGCAGTGTGTGGGCTTTTCGCTGCGTGGCTTCTCTTGTTGCAGAGCACGGGCTCTGGGACGGGCGGGCTCCACTGTTTACAGCTCCCGGGCTCTGGAGCACAGGCTGGATAGTTGTGGCAGACGGGCTTAGTTGCTCCACGGCATATGGGATCTTCCTGGAACAGGGATCGAACCCGTGTCTCCTGCATTGGCAGGCAGACTCTTTACTACTGAGCCACCAGGGAAGCCCCATTGAAGGTTTTTGAGTAGAAAAATGATCTACTATTTGCAGATCTGTTTCACATTTTGACCCTTTGGGTGAGAAGTATCAAGTGCGCTGGGGTGGACTTGACACTCCATAGCAGACAAATTTGAGTTGAAAAGTTGGATTGGCTACCACAACTACCGATCTGTCCTTCACGCTTTGCCAGCGTTGCTTTGAACTTTTTCATCTGTGGCCCCAACCATGAGGGAAGAGTTCAGAAACTAGCTCTTGGCCGGTGACTCCAAGCATGGAGACTTCAGGCTCAGTTCCGAATGCATCACCCTCCAAGTCCTGGGCGGCCCGCAAGCGTCCAGGCACTCTGCTGTCCCCACAGGGTCTGACGATGAGATATCCCAGGTAGAGTAAGCTCCCATGAAGCTTCCTGTCAAAGGCCTGTTTTTCTGCAGTTGAGCTGTTCTTGGCTAGGATCCATCTTTCCCCCTGTACAAGAACGACAGGCAGAGATTTATCCTTCCATTAATACCCTTCCCTCCGTGAAGAAAAACACAGTGTGAACACACACACTGCCTCGGGCTACTGACTCAGATGGTTACTTTCTCTGGCATTTGGTTTCCTAAACAGTTTTGGGTTCCTACTACCTCTCGAAGGCATTTGGTGTGAGAATAGGGCTTTGAAAGGGGATGGTGTGTGGAGTGGATAGGAAGGAGCTCATCTTCTTAAACTTTCTCTTTCTCTTGAGATTCTCCTTTGTGTTCCGCACGTGAGCCCAGTGGCCGGGGGGCAGCCCACAGCATCACCATTGCCCAGGCCTGGCCCCCTACCCAGAAGAAGTTTCTCAAATATCAGTTTGGCCAAAAAGTCTGTTCAGGGAAAAAAACTTATAGAAAAACCGGGACAAACTTTTTGGCCAGCCCAATTAAAGTGTGATTTCATGCAACCCCATTGCATGCCTTCTTCATAAAATCCTTGTTTCCCAGTGAAAAAGAAAGCACATGAGGCTTCAGTGTGAGCCTAACAGCACTCATTTAGGGTTAAGTTTAAACCCTTCCAAACTGTGAACAAGACAACTGGTCAACACAAGAGACTTCTGGGGCCCTGAAGCGGACCCATGACCAGTGTGACGCAGTCTTGAGGGCTGGAAGAACAGGGGCAGACGGGGCTTTCCTTGATGATGCCGCCTCGGTGCCATGTGCCCAGTGACATTACGGGGGGACACTGCATTGGCGACAGCCTCCAGGTTAACGCTCCTCAGCTCCTCTGGCTCCCCTTGCACAGGGGTCCACCTTGCTCCCCGGAGTTTTGTTTGGGGTGACTTACTCCCCTGTCGGCTCTGGGGGTCCCGCTGTGAGATCTGAGACGGAGCCCCGGGCCCCTGGCGGCTGCCGAGCACTCACCCCCACGTCTGCCGTCTGTCCTTCCCCCGCAGTTTGCCCTGGAAAAGCTGGCCGAGCTGGAGCGGCGGAAGCGAGAGCTCCAGGTCGAGGCCCACACCCTCATCGACTTCTTCTGCGAAGACAAGGACACCGTGAAGCTAGACGAGTGCCTGCAGATATTCAGGGACTTCTGCGTCAGGTTCAACAGAGCGGTGAAGGTATGGCTAGGGGCAGCTCCGCGCTGTCTGAGTTGTCTGGATTTCTGCCTCTCCTCTGTCCAGCCTGGCCCTGCCTGTGGCCGAAAGGGGCCTCGGTGGCCTCACAGCATCAGGAAGATCTGGCCCCGGGGGCGCTGCCTGGCTGTCCCTCAGGATTCTGGGCAGGCTCTGCCCTCTCAGCCCCAAGCCTTCCCCTGTTGGCAAGCCTAACGTGTGCTGCTCATTCCAGTGCTCGCTCTGATGCTCTAAAAGCATTTTGTTCATCAGGCTTGTTTAGGATGGCAGTCACGCTATTAGGGCATCTCTTTGAAGATCCTTCTCTCTTCCCAGGAGACACTTCCCTCCTTCAGGGGGACCTTTCTCGCAGTGGGGTGACCGGAAGGCCCCTTTGCCCTTCTTTTGAGCTCTGTAGCCATTGTCAGGGGTCGGCATCCGGGGAACCAGGCTGTCCGTGGCCAGAGCAGGCTTCAGAATGCCCAGAGACTGAGGGGGCGGCTGCTGTCTGCACACAACCGCTGCAGCCTTGCCCATCAGCCTCCCATTCATAATCTCTGAGTTCATGCAGAATCCAGAAAACTCTTTGGGTTTGACTTTGCACATAAAACTTTCATCTGCCAACTAAAAACAGAATAACAGCCCACCAATTCAGGTGTTGATAAGGAACCAAATACCCCTGTGCGCCACTTTCCCTCAATACTAAGCGCACATTTGTGCACAGCTGACTTTCTTTGAGGGGCTGCTCACTGTCTCTGCAGCCCCAAATGAGTAGCTCAGAGTGACTGGAGTTCTCAAACCGCCTTTCTCTGTCTGCTGAAAAGGAGGCTGAGCCTGTGGCCACGTTTCCACTCCTCTGTCCAAGCAGTGAGGTCAGCAGGGGAGGTGCTGGTGGGGTGGTACTGGCCAAACTGGCCCTGAGACCTTCACTCCCAGTCGGAGTTCTCCACGCTTGTGAGGCTGCCTGGGTGACGCTCTCAACCCAGCTGTCCTGAGAGCCAGGAGCTGGCCCTGTGCGCTCCGCAGGCAGCCCTGAAAGAAGACCTGGGGACCTTGGGGAGGCCGAGGCTGCAGGAGGGGCCCAGAGTCCCCAGTGGTCAGAGCCAGAGGCTCACAGAAACTTGGAAGGGAAAGTGCACCACTTGGAAGGGAAAGTCCACTGTTTGCGGAAATTGATTTTCAAGTAAAAAGCACTAACGATAACAGATTTGGGTTGTGGGCTCCTCACGTTTACGTGGCACGAGTATATTTAAGGTGCAGGCAGTAAACTGTGTTTGGTGTGTGCATTTGTTCTGTTCGGTTTTGTTGGGGGAGAGCTGGCTCCTTGGGGCAGGGTGAAAGGCAGAACGGTTGATAAAGCAGATCCTCTTCTCTGATTGTGGGAAGTGTGTAGGGCACACGGGACAGAGCCTCTGTGGCATTTCTGGTGTTTACCAGGGAGCATTCAGAGATCACAGGCATCTCTTAATATCCCGAGTCTGCATTTCTGCATCCAAATCCCTAAGTAGAATGTGTGCACATGAGTGTGTATGTGTAGATATATGTGTATATGTAGGTATGTGTACAACACTGATTCAGACTCCTTTTAATACCCGTAGTATTTTTCTCTCTGTGCCTAAATGGTACTCCTGGAAGTCCCTTCTGTTTCACCCTACTTAGAAACCAAGTTGCATTTCCTGGGAGTTGAGGTCACGGACACGTGTGCAGTCACAGCCCACACTGAGCACAGTGTCTCGACTGGAAGTCGGGCCCCAGGTTCTGATGACCACCCTAGGGAGATGGTTGGGGTCAGGCCCGGTGTGTCCCGGTCATGCCCACGCAGCTTGAGGAGAGCAGAGGCCCCCAGGCTCCTGGCACGTGCACCTGCAAGCACAGGCCGTGCCCCTCAGTGAGTGAAGCCCGTGGCTCAGGGTTCTCCTCCAGCCGGTGTCTCTCGCTGGGGTGTTTGGATAGCTAGCTCTGGAACTGCACTCGGTCGCCGCGTCTCATGCATCTTCCCGCCTCTCCACCCTGCCTCCAGGACAACCGCGAACGCCAGGTGCAGGAGCTGAGGCAGCGGCAGCGGCTCAAGGAGCTGGAGCAGAAGCGGCGATCCTGGACGGCGGGGGAGTTTGGATTCGGCCGGAGCAGCAGTGAGAACGATGTGGAGCTGTTGACCAAGCGGGGCGCGGAGGACCTGCCCCCGTTTCTCTGCTGCAGGCCCCCCACCACCCGCCGCTCCCGCCTCTCCCTGGACACCATGGCCGACCGGGAGCTGCTGAACTTCCTGGAGAGCTCCGTGGGCAGTCCCGAGAAACTCAAGCCCAGCAACTCATCCCAGGGCTGCCTCTGGCAGGTCCCGCCCGACGGAGCCTGCAGGGAACCTGGAGAACCGAGGGGCCAGGACTCCAGCCTAGCGCACAGACCTCGGGTCTTGGAGGGCCAGGAGGAAGCCCCCCACCCCACCACGGCTTGGCCGAGCTGGCTCCCTGCAGCCCACCCTGAGGATCCCACCTGCGCTCTGCGCCGCCCTCGGCGCAGTGGGGTCAACACCCTCCGAAAGAGGAGCAGCGCGCCGGTGGGCATGGATCCTGTGAGGTCCTCACCCCCACTCTCACCGTTGGCTCTAGGGATTAGGGAGCATGAGCTGGTGACCGGGCTGGCCCAGTTCGACCTCCAGGCTCCCAAGGGCCCGGAGGAGCTGGCCGGGCTGACTGGGAATGACTGCAGCCCAATGGAGCTGGTGTCCGTGAGGGGTGAGAGCCCACAGTCCCTGGGCGCCCCCAATAGCAGCCCAACGCCTGTGGGCAGATGTGCCCAAGTGTGTCCCGGCCAGGAGCCTGTCCCCCAGGATGGCGGTGCTGCCCCTTATGAGCCCAGAGGCACAGCTGCGCTCTCTGAGGGGAGCAGCGACCCTGAGCGCCAAGATCCTGGGCCTCTGTTCTGCATCTCCGACACCAGCGACTGCTCGCTGACCCTGGACTGCTCTGAGGGAGCCAACTCCAGGCCCTTAGAGGGGGATCCGGGTGAGGCAGGCGATGGGAAGGGCTCCGTGTCCCCCGGGGCCTGGGAGATGGGCGGCAGTCAGGCCTCCTCCAACCCCATCTGCAGCCCGACTGCGGAGGCTCCTGCTGCTGCCTCCACCTCCGGCTCGGGCTCCGTCACAGAGAGGAGCGAGCCGGAGAGCTGCAAGGGTGGCCCGCCCAGGGACAGGCCGGCCAGAGGGAGGGAGGCGCCGGCCCTCAGGAGGAGCTCCCCAAGAGAGGCTCCGCCGTTGGCGGGGCCGTCCCGGACCGGGGCCGCCCGGCGGAGCGCAGGGCCGACAGGGCCTGTGCGGCCGGCGGGGCCCGTGCGGCCGGTGAGGACGCTGACCGGCTGCGAGAACGAGAGCATGCGCAGGGTCGTGCCAATCTCGCGCGCCGGCCGCGCGCCCCCGGCCCCCAAGGGCAGCCCCCGCGAGGCCCCCAGTGGGCCCAACCCACCCCCGCCCCTGGCGCGCCGCAGCTCCATGCGGGGGACCTCGGACGCGTCGCCAGCGAGGCCCGCGACGGGGGCGGCCCGGCCCGGGAGGGAGCCCCCCTCTCTGCTTCGGAGCTCCTTCAGGAAGCCCAGCGCCAAGCCTCTGCGCAACGTGCCGCGGTCGAAGCCCGAGGAGGACAAGGCGTGCCGCTCCAGCGCCCAGGGCCCCGACGGCCCCGGAGATCCGCCCTGCGCCCCGCCGGCCGCCAGCGTGCCCCGGGGCCCGGCCGCGGTCCCCAGCTTCGCTCGCAACACGGTCGCCTCCTCGTCTCGAAGCCAGAGGCTCGACTCTCCCGCTCTGCCCAGAGCCCCCGGCCTTACGCGGACCATGTCTCAGCGGCAGCTGAGAGTGAAGGGCGGCCCCGAGGACAGCGCCCCCAAGGACAGCGGCGCCCTCCGGCGGGCCGGCAGCGCCCGTACCCTGCGGAAGGGGTCCGAGTGCGCCGAGGGCCCCAGGGCCGGCGCGGAGACACCGCCGAAGGGCCGCGGGGCAGGCGAAAGGGCCTCCCTCCGGCTGAAGGAGGCCAATCGCGCGGCGCTGGGGAAGGGGCTTCATCCCTTACGTAAGTGAGGGGCATCCGCCCTCCCAGCTTGCCTTTTGGGGTTCGGATGGTGAGGAATGACTTGTGCGAAAGGCCGACCCTAAATGTCTGTTCCACATAGAGCCCCCCGCTGGGGCTACCTGCCAGTGCCCCCGAAGGTGTAGCCTGCTGGACCCACATCCCCGCTGGACCATCGGCTCCGCATCGGCCCGGGAGGTGGACCTGCTGAGCCCCGTCCTCCAAACACAGAGACCGGTGGACGACTCAGACAAGGTCGTTGTCTGACTCAACATCATCTGATGTTCTTAGGTGACGAGTAACAAGATTTCGGGGCCAGTTTTTATATAGCGGTGACATTTTTTACTATTATAAAAATTAAACGTTGTTTTAGTTGGTTCCTTTCACAGAGTGTAATGCTTCCCAGGGGAAAAATGATGAAGGTATTTTTTATCTTCCTAGTTCCCTGGCCTCAGGGTTCCACCTGCCCATGCTGTGCATTGCTGGCAACTGGACTTCCGCCACAAAGCCTTTGGGTGTCCTGTGGTTGGCACCGTCTTCCTGAAGACTGTTCCTTGCTCATCTCCACCTGCTACCTTTGGTGAGGTGAACAGGAGGGAAAGTGAAACTGGTGGACAGAAATCTGGTGCTCCCCGTGTGTTGGGACTGTGGGGCAAGCCTTCCCTGTAGATGGGTGGCCACCCCTGGGAGAATGCTGGAGCTTCCAGAATTCAGAGGTGCCATATTTTGATGGAAGGTCGTCAGGACTGTTCAGCTGAGCACATCTTTCCCGTTCTCTGTTTTCTCATTTGAGTATTTGTTGTAAAACTGAGTGAAGGCTGCTATGAATTGTGTTCACTCTAGTTCCTCTAGGGAGGAATAAACCCAGACTTTCTCCTTTGCTAATGTGACCTGGAGCCTGGAGAGAAAGATTCACTTTCTCTCTCCATGATATTTTTAAATGTTGATGTCTGTTCTTTGGTACAGTGGTTTTAAATCCTGAGAAAAACCAGGTCAAGTTTTAAAAACCAGACCAAAATTGAAATTGCTTTAAGAAGACTTTATACTATCAGGAAAATTTTGAAGAAAAAAAAAGTAAGGCTTCATTCAAAAGAGAAAAACATACTACTCGGTTCCAATTTCACTGTTTCCGTCCCAATTAGCTAATTGGGAAGTGGGGGAATTCTTGAAACATTTTTGTTATTTAAAAACTGCCCTTTCTCCCACTTTTTCCACTTTTGATCACTAATTAGTGAAACTTTGTTTTAGATCTGACAGCGGGAGGTGGATTTTGGCAAATATAGTAATGTATTCCTGGTGAATCCATAGGGTTGATGTTACAGTCTCCCTGCTGTAGAATGTTGCCTTCCGTCCAGATCGATTAGAAACTCTGAGCTTCCATAAGTCAGCTAAACTGAAAGGAAAACAAGGAACCTGACCACAAAACCTCTTGTAAAAATAGCCCTGAGTAGTATTTCCAGGGCTCCACAAAGATGGTTGTGAGAATCCTGAGCCATTTTTCGTCATCTCAAAAGCCTTAAAAAAAAAAAATCATGTATTTAACCATGAAGACAAACCTGTGTGAAACCTAGGGCCTGTGAAAGAGGTCAAAATTTGTGGGTTTGTGGGTAGTGTCAGGGTTGTGGCCCCTTGGGGAACCCTGGAAAGCAGGGTCCAAATCCCTGTTCCCTCACTGATGCAGTGAGGCTTTGGCAAGTCACTCCCTCTCCTTAAGCCTCTGTTTTCCAGTCTGCATAAGTGGGGGCATGGCCTCTGCTGTGGTCTTCAAGGGTTCTGCCAACTCCCAGAGTCCAAGTCATCGTGAATAGCCAAGAACCCATCTCTGCCCTGGGATCAGCTTCTAGAACTAAACTCCAGCATTTCCACAGTGGAGGTCTCACATAAAGGCTCACTCAGAAGAAAGCACCTTCAGAATGAGTTGTTGCTTTGAAATCTATTAAGCTGAGTTTCCTGAGAAGTGGTGTTTTGCTTAGCTCTGTGGACCGCTTGTATGCATCTGTGTGAGCAGGTGATCATTCTATTACCTTTTATTGGTAGTAAGCTTGGAAAAATAATTTAAATATATAATGCAGAAATGTAAATAATTTTATATATAAATTTTAAGATGAACTGAATGTATTTAAAGGTCCATTTATATGTTTGTTCTTTTATGTAATGTGTAGTTTAATAAAGTTCATGTTTATGAGATTTGTGTTTTCTCCTCAATTGCTTCTGTGGATGTGGGCATGTGACCCTGGTAAGAGAGTGCATCATATCCTGTACAGAGAGAAGGGTGGAGATGGGGTGGACAGGAGGTGCCAGAAGGTTGGGATAGAGCAGCCAAAAGTCTCCAGAGCCAAAATCAGCTGTTGATGTGTGTCTTCTTAATAGCATAGAACCTGCATTTAACTGCGCGAGCCCCGGGAGGGGGCCTTGCGCCACACCTGGGATGCAGGCATCCATCTGATATGCGGGCCATGCATGGAATGTTCAGTACCTCATGCACACTTGCGTTATTCCATGTTGTGGGCCAACCTTTGCGCAATCTCCATGGGGCCGGCAAGTCTGGATCTGCTCCTGTGCGCTCGCGTGTGTTTTGGCTCAGGACGCTGTTGGGAAATCGCAGCTCACCTCTGTGGCTGCCTCAGGAATGAGTAGAGAGGGAGGGAGGCGTGCTTTTATTTGAAATGCAGGATTGGTATGAAAAGAAAGGGGGATTGTGTGTAAGATGAGACTCATACCTTGGGATTTCCTATCAAGTTTTAGTCCTAGCTGCTCTCCGAATTTAGCTGACGGGTTACAGGAAGATCCTGGGGTCAGACAGCAGTGGATGAGAGAGCAGATTATGTCCTTGTCCTGCTTGTGAGGTGCTGCCCCGTAGACTTTTAGAGCCTGGTTTTGCCTGTTGGAAGCGGTTTGGAACACTGGACACCTCCTCTATCATCATCCCTGTGGTAACCGGGCTGACTGACACAAACCAGAGCGAGGCCTTTTATTTCCATAGTGGGTCTCAAGTAGTTCTCTTAGTCCTTTCATTTTCTCAAGGAACCTGTATTCTAGTCTTCCTTCTAAAGATTCTCGTTGAAACCCAGGGACCACAGTTTCCTAACTGTTCAGTCTGCATATTTATATATTATGGTGAGAGGCTCTGGAATGTTTTGATAGAATTACTAATTCAGGTTTCTGAGATGAACAGATTCACCAACTCCTGCCTCTAAGGGCATAGTCTTTCCCTCCTCTATCTCCTCCCATCTAGCAATGATGACGTTTTGCAGTTTCACAGAATTTTCTATTGAAATTTAAACCTTGTTCTTAATTCTTCATTATACTTTCCCTTCATGCTTCAGTCCTGCCATAAAAATAGAAGAGTTTTTTTTTTTTTCTGGTATGTATTCCTGAGCACATATAAGCACACACATTTAAGCCAAAATGTGACTAAGAGACATTGCAGTTGACCCACTAAGTACTTCTTAAAATTATTTGGGTTGTGAGCACAAACAAAATGGGTGACAGTGGGTCGGTAGAGTCACCTTACTCAGCTTCTGTGGAGCTACAGTACACAGCTGGGAATGAATCCGGGACAGGCTTGAAAACATAACCCAGAGCAACCTCTCCAGGGGTATTTTCATCCGCAAATATTTTCCAGTGAAACGCCCTGTGGCTCGCTGGGATTTGTCAGTGAAGACAAAGGTAATGTCCTTGTGGTTGAAGAAAGTGGCTTTTCTGTCTTCTGGACCAGAACCTGGCAGCTCACTGCCTCCGCTTTCCTTCCTAGTTGGCAGGTGGGACAACTGGCCCCACTGCAAGGGGGTCATGGCCAGAGCAGCACCCACGGTCTCCTTCCTGGGCCTTGACCAAAGGCCACCTGGAGCCTGGTGCGACCTGACCGCCCCCTGTCAATGCTCGAGGTCCTCTTAGGCACTTTAATACCAGACCTCTGGAGTCAGGCTTTGTCCTTAGCCTCCTCAGAAACATTCAAATGCTGAGTCATAGAGGCGGTCCCTAACTTGCTAGCAGATGACGTTCCCCACGTTTGCTCAAAATTAGACTTGAGAAATTCAGAATGCACATTCCCCAAGCAATCAGGTCATGGTTATAGGTAGGTTTCCAAGGCAGCCCGTCAGAAACTTCCTTAACCCATCCTTGGGTGGACAGTGGCACTGGTTTTGTAGGTGAGAACCTCACTTGTAACTGTTGTCCTGGGGGAAACACCAGGGTGCTGCGAACGTGTTCCCCTAGTTAATGACGTTATGTGGAGGTGAGGGCACACTCAAGTTCACTCTCCGCCACTGGACAAGAAAAGCCTCTCCACTCAGGTCAGCCACAGGAGCGCCCATCTCCTTGGCCAATTCCAGTAAATACCAGCAGTTTCCTGTGGGGGGCTGCCTTTTGTCTGTCCTTCCTAATAGCACACTTTGCAGCTATCAATCCTCCAGGACTGGACTCAACCACACTGCCTCAGCCTCCTGGAAACCAGCGGCAGGTGGCAGGGCTGTGGGGAGGCCACTTGTGTGGCCAGGGCATGCCTCATGGACCCTGACTCTCTGTGGCCCCATGAACTGCAGCACTCCAGGCCTCCCTGTCCATCACCAACTGCCGGAGTCCACCCAAACCCATGTCCATGAAGTCAGTGATGCCATCCAGCCATCTCATCCTCTGTCGTCCCCTTCTCCTCCTGCCCCCAATCCCTCCCAGCATTAGGGTCTTCTCCAATGAGTCAGCTCTTCACACAAGGTGGCCAAAGTATTGGAGTTTCAGCTTCAGCATCAGTCCTTCCAATGAACACCCAGGACTGATCTCCTTTAGGATGGACTGGTTGGATCTCCTTGCAGTCCAAGGGACTCTCAAGAGTCTTCTCCAACACCACAGTTCAAAAGCATCAATTCTTTGGTGCTCAGCTTTCTTTATAGTCCAACTCTCACATCCATACGTGACTACTGGAAGAACCATAGGCTTGACTAGGTGGACCTGTGTTGACAAAGTAATGTCTCTGCTTTTTAATATGCTGTCTAGGTTGGACCACTTCAATGAG